CGATACAATGGCTTCGTTTTCCCACATTTAAAAAAAGTATGGGGAGTCGCACAGCCCCACACAGGCCAACACCGTGTGCGGTGAGAGCCAACCGAACAACGCGCTCTCGAAGAGTGACGAGAAGTTGGGGACCGTAGTCCACAGCAAAGTAACCGGTGAACTATTAAAAGCGGGCTTAGCTCCTTGGTAGTACCTACGTAAGCACAAATATCGACCGAAGTCAGGCATGTCAGATGCCATACAGAATTTGATCAAATCCAGCCACAGTGAATGTACGTCACACGATTTAGGCATACTGGCCATAAAAATCCTCCCTGAGTACCATCACCTGCCAAACCACTGCCCCTGCAGACGTGATGTAAGTGTAAGACATCACCACCGATTGCATGATCAGCACGGCTTCTAGCCGCAGAGCGTGATGAGTCTACCTTTCACCTCATGGGAACGGGGTCCCACGTTGAGCGACTTTCAGCCGCAGCCTTGAGAGTCTCCTTCCCCCAGCTACCACCCGCATGAGGTCGAAACAATATGCTTCATCAACCAATACAACGGCAGATATAGCCAAAGGCAGTTATAAAATAATAATAATTCAGATATCAGAAAGGGTTTTTGTCACTGATGTTGAGTATATGCATTTTCAGCCCCAAGTCTGCTCTTATAACGCTTATGAATTTTAGAGACTTGTTTTAGATTTCAGAGATATTGTTGCTTTTGTTACATAGACCTCACTATCCTTAATATGGGACTATTACATTGTGCAACAGTACTTCGGTAGTCAGTCGCGATCGACCACCTCATATATGTATATGTCTGAATGTAGAATGTAATGCGTCTCCGTCATATCTATCTTCTATACATATAATAAAACTGTAAATAGCAGATGTCTGTACATTTTATATTTTTGTAATAAAAGTGATTGAGGGGCACTAAAAATAAGTAATTAAATACATTTCTACCATTTTTAGAATTTTCTGTCTGTCTGTCTGTCTGTCTGTCTGTTTGTTTGTTAACGTATCACGTATAAAGTACTAATTTATATCATAAGAATTGTTAAGGAAATTATAAAGTGTATCTTCGGGTTACATTTAGTCTTTATTTCATTAAAATCAGTTCATTCCATCAAAAGTTATGATAAATATTCTGAAATATGGGTAGGGAAGTATAGGTACGAATTTGCTCAACGGTGGCTTTGTTTGAGTCATCAAGTGCATTTTAAACTAATATCATATCATAAATCATAGTTAAATTATGTAAAATAATGATATAATTATGTATATCTAAAACGCAGTAAAGAAAAGTATTAAAGAACGTATTAAATATATTATACAAAAATATATTAACCTTATTAACTAAATCTGGAGCACAATAGTTAACCCATTTCTTCGTTAGATGGTGGTGTTGTGAAAATGTAATGCAATTGCAATGTGGTTTTTTTCTGTAGATGAGTTTTTATATTTACTGCTAATCTTTATTATATTACTCGCTGCCCTACTGCGTGTTGACAAACTCAATTTATTCTTTACCGCCGAGTACTCTATGTGGTAAATCAAATTTTAAAAGAGCTATTAACAATTGCGTTGGTTTTGGCGAGAGTCAAACTTTATTTTTTGCTTACTGTGCAGGCACAGATTTATAAGTTCTCTTGCGTTTTATATAATGTATCAATCGCGTCAATTAATCTCTTTTATTTTTAGAATTGATGTTAGCAGCGCCATCTCTCTTTAAATATATACATATAATAAAAATGATGATAACATGTGTCTCTTTCTGTACATTGTATATATATATATATTTTGGTGGCTAAAATCATTATGGGGAACTGAAAATAATTAAATAAGAACATTTTATAATTTTTAGAATTGTCTGTCTGTCTATTTGTCTGTTATTATATGAACGCATCACGTCTAAAGTAAACATCTTTTATTTTCAAAGAAATCGTTAAGAAAATCATAAAGCGTATCTTCGATTTACATTTAATCTTTGTTTTATTAAAATTGGTTAATTCTCTAATAATTTTGCAACGAAATGTCGTGATATTGTATTTATTTTATAATATACGCAAAATCAGTACTGCCATTTTAGCGCTTTGGGAACTAGATTTAGCGCTTTTTTGGAATGTATAGCGCGCATTTCGAAATTTTAGCACCTAGCTTAATCCAGCGCTTTTTGGTGTATTTAGCACACATTTCAATATTTTAGCGACTAGCTGGTTATTAACTCTTTTATAGCAGCACTGTTAGTCCACATTACCGATAATAATAATAATGACCTTTATTATTTTTTCCCACAAATAGTAAGTACATTGCAGTTTATCTTTTTCAAACATATTTTTTCCACAAAACAAAGAGCATGGGAGACGAGTCCAAACTAGGATACCCTGTGCTATGGATCTCCTGGCTTCCCCTTTAGGATGATCAACTTGATTTTTTTACCGACGACTATAAGCGGGGAAATCCCCTTTATTAAAGTTTTCGTTCATGGTTTTGGCAACGCATTTATTTTGCTTTATTCAGTTTCAGTCAGTTGCTTAGAGCACAGTTAAGTTAAAAGTTACTTAGAAGTTATAACACAAAGAAACTGTGTAGCAACCGCAATCAGATGCTGACATCTGAAACTAAGTTGTGAAATACATTGCACTTTAAAACAATTAATGACATTTTTATTGTTCGTACAGTACTAACTACTGTCGACAGCAATTGCCATAATTATAAGTCGATGTCCTGCGAAGTATTGATACATCAAAAAAATATTGCCAGAAAAAAAACTTAATATTGTTTTCTTTATTATGATTATATAAAAAAAACACAAACTTTGTTTGTAGTTAATTTAGCGCGAAATCTAGGGCTTTTTTAAAGCGCTGTTTTCATGAAATCTAGCGCTATTTGTGTTGTCCTAGAGCTGAATGAGTTTTTTTTATCTGGCAGCACTGCCCAAAAACCCTCTATTAAGAAGTAACTTTCCTTTCAGTTTTATGCGCGTTCAGTTCCCAGTTACAGTGAGCGTGTGTTATGCGATGACCGTAAATAAAGCGCAAGGTCAAACTTTACGCGTTGTAGGAGTATACCTCAGTACTGACTGTTTTGCACATGGCCAACTCTATGTTGCTTTTTCCCGCGTTAGTAGCCCCCGTAACCTTTTTGTGTACACCCCGGCTAAGCCTACTTCTAACGTCGTTTACACAGAAGCTCTATCATAAACGACTTAGAACTTTGATGATAATGATTTATTTAGTTACCACTTATTGATACAGTAATGAAATAAATCGTTTAATATTCTCTTACCTAAACGACAAATTCTTTATGTAAAACCTGTATACGCGAGCTACGCCGCGGGCACAGCTAGTTTCTAATAAAATTTATGGGAAAAATCAACGTGCAGCCGTGCAGGAGTGCAGCTGTGCAGCCCCTTGGAATTGGTTCAAACTTTGTATGGAGGTACTGTAAGTATACTTCTCCGGCATATCTGTAATAAAATGTATGAGAAAAATCAATGTGCAGCTTTTTTTTTAAATACTAATAATGCTGTTAAACATTACTAATATTTCCTTAAACCACTTCTGGTAAGCTTAAGATGCTTGTGTTAGAAGTGGTTCAAGTTAGAAGTGGTTCACGACAGTAGTCGAATGGCGGATTCGAACCCACGACCTTTCGAGTTCGCGGTCCGCGCCCTGCCATTAGACTACTGACGCTTCAAAGCAATGTAGCTGTACAGCCCCTTGGGATTGTTATACGTTGAATCATTACACAGAAATTTTTAAATTTTGAGCATTCGTTTTTGAGATATGTATTAACAAAATAAGATTCAGTCATTGCATGAACACACTATAACTTTATAATTTTTTTTTATAGGATAGGGTGACAAGCGAGCACACAGTCCACCTGACGGTAAGTGGTTGCTGTGGCCCATAGACATCTACATCTATCCTCATTTGCGAAGCAAAATGTAGATGCGTTGTCACCTATGAGGACTAAGATGGAATGCCTCTTTTAAAGGGTCTCCGGTTCTCTACACTCACCATACGAAACACAGCAGTGTTAAGCTGCTATTTAACGCTGGTATTCTATGAGAGCGTGGTCCTTCCCCGGTCGAGCCGACCCACTCGTGCTACAACTATACTACTAATATAGCTGCAGTATAGCTCTAACACGTAGATTATAATATAAGACATAAATGTTATTTGTATTATTATAATATATTATTAGTTTCATATTTATTGTATTTTTTTAAAACCTTTTAAATATTTTAAGCAGAGTTTTAGCAAACTTAATGAATTTTAAAGGCCAATATTAAACTTTTACTTTAGTTTTCTGTAATGTATGCTCGTATTTTAACTATATGCTTTATAATGCATTTTAATTGTTCAAATTATTACTTATATTCTAAGTACGATCTCTTATCATCCCGTGCCTTTATATACTGGTAACACTTTCCGCTAATACATTCCCATATATCTTTAAAATTTAAATTATTGTTGAGGGAAACTCGACTTAAACCTTCATTTTTTAAATATTGAATAAAATTAATTAAATAACAAGATAGAGTCGAGGTAGCTCAAGAAATAGTCTTGCCGTAAATCTATAGCACGATAGAAATCAACCACCTAACCCGCCGGGGGCAGCAATAAAATTGTTCATTGCAATTTAACTGCTAATTTATATCGTACACGGCGATGAAGGAACACATCGTATGAAAAATTGTATGTCTAAACAACATTTCAGGGGTATTCCACAATCAATACGCACTGGAGCAAGGAGGTAGACTAGATTATCCATTCTTATCCTCTTAGAAATATACCTAAGTAATAAATATGCTCAGAAGTGAAAGGAGGCCTGTGGTTAGCTGAGGGATGTATTTAGGTTTTAAGTTTAAAAACTAAGAGGCTAAAATTATCTATCAATAAACTTAGACTTGGCAATCTACCTTAACGCAAATAACCTATTTATAATTAAAGATAAGATAGTAAAAGCGAAAGGTTAGAAAATAAAAGAAACACCACAATAATTTCGTAAATATATATATTTAATTTTATATCTTCCATCAATACATACAAAGACATTTACACGTACATTAAAAATTTGGCTGCAATTAGATGTAAGTATAACGTAACGTTCTTTGATATGGATCATAAACATAAACAATAAATATATAGTTTCAGAACTTCATAAGCTATTTCAAACCTTACTTATTCAGCCAAGAAGCTCAATACTTTGAAACGAACGGGGAAGACATTGTTAGAATGTATTATAATGTATAGGTTACAGCACCGTCGTAATTATATCAAAAAATCAAAAATCCCCACCGGCTGAGTACTAGCAACAAAGTATGTTATTGATGGAGGAGGAGAATATTTTACAAAATAAAACTTATCGAAATATCTTCGGTGTATGCTAGGAGCTATAAAAATTGAAAATAATACATCTAATTAATTTCATAACTAGTTAGAAATTACAATCCCTTATTACGAGATCAGCGACAATTTGACGTCACCCGATGTTGCAGCATGTTGTTTTTTTTTAACAGGGCATTTGTTTCATGTCATCTCAGATTTTCTAATATTAACTGCAATACAAATTGATTAGGTCGCATATTTTGAGACTTGCCTAAACGCGAACATCCCTTTGGTATCACAATAGTTTTACCAATTGGTGGGTATTATAGATTTCCGAAATCTTTGGACTTTTCCGAACAAAAATATTAAAAAAGATTCCTAATTATCTTTATGTCCATCATTTTAACTATGCATTATTTTAACCGCATATTGCAACAATTGCGAATCAAACATACAACACTTAAGAACTATTATAATATAATACCTAATTATCTTTATAAAGTAACAAATTAACTTATATTTACAGTATTATTAAATCGATAGCAGAATTTTACTATTTAATCTATGCATATGTTTTATTCACTTGCACTTCAGTACCTTTATCGAATAGTTACAGTAATTTAAAGTTGAATCATAAAATATGTACCACGTTTTGTTTTAAATCCGCGATGTTATACATGTAACATTATGTAACAGGTCGTTACAACGTTGTAAACATTAGCACGGAAGAACATCAAACAGTCATTCGTTTGCACGAGAATTGTTATAAAGACACTGCTTATCATTCTTAGTTCGCTTTAGGGAAACATCTTTTATGCCCTAACGTAATTGATAGAAGTTTAATAGAATCGACAGTGCTTTGATATTTTCTACGCGCATTGAGACTACGAAAATATTTCATTGGTAAAATACGCGTTGATTCATACTTTACAAATAAAAGTACCTATTTAAAGTTTGTTGTGTGAATGTATTAAGGGGCTCAAATATCAAAACCAATCGTGACAGTAATGTTTTTTTATTAATACGAAATAAAAATATTCACAAACAATAAGTTGTGAAATAGTAAGGCACCGTTGGTCATGAATGGGTACTTAATATATAAGATTATGTTTATAATAGAACCTTCCAAACGATCGTATGTTACTGTATAATAAGTATAGATTCCACTGGTGGATGCTTATGAGATCAAGTCCGACGTTTTATATGAATACTGCGGAAAATTACGAAACACGTTAATAAAATTAAAAAGTTTTAAAATATTTTCCATGTTTTTAAAAGGTCAAAAATTCAACATCCTTTTGTTAAAAAAGTTATCGTCTATTTTAGGGATGTATAACATTTTTACAGATTGGTTCGAAGCCCATACATAAATTTAACTATCTACTATAAATACATCAGGGGTGTCCTGTATAAAATAAGTAGCGTAAATTTTCAAAAAAGGATTATCACGTCAAATAATTTAACAGCACCAATATTAAAACAATAAATATTTTTAATCTTTACATTATACTAAATGGGCCAGATCGACGTAATGTGATCCTGGTTATACGTACCTACTTACGACTTTGTTCTACGGCTAAATTTAAAAATCGATTTGATAATATTTAAAGCGTTCCAAACCGATCTGCAAAAATGTGTGTAGTTTAAGTCATTGATTTTCCTTGATGTTTTCTTATTACAGTCATTATAAAAGATGAGTATAAAAAGTCTGAAAACTGCACAAATAAAAAAAAAATTAAAATTTCGCGATATTTAATTATAGTTTCTAGATAATTTATGAGCGGTTTTTGGGTGTGTTCCGATGCTCGTGAGTTTCGATTCAGTCGTCGTCTTTCTTCTCCATTTTGGGCTCGTACATCGCGTGTAACTGCTCCGGTGATATTCTGAAAGAAGGTTATTTATTAAAATAGGATATAGTAGGAGAGCGGGATTACGCAGGTAGCGTTAGGTGAAGCAAATATTAATGCTAATTTATGGTTAAGTAGTTTGTTTATGTCATAATCCTAATTTTAAACAATATATTTTATACTTTATATGCTTTTGTTTGTCCACTTAAATTGATTCATCTTTTTTTTGGTTAATAGATACATATAATTTACGCTAGAAAAGTAATTAAAAATATTTTTATAAGGCCATTTTTATCATAACTACGATTGCCACATAGCGTTAGGCCATTAATTTCATGACACAAAGGCAGTCACTGAAGTGTATTAACCAATATCTACCTAAGTACTAAAAATTTTATTTAAAGTATGAATCTATTCTTAAAAACTAACTTAACGTTAGGATGTCTTAATTGTGAGGTTCGAAATGAAGTACTAGGAGTGCATATAATGCACAAATCTACAAAGAATTTAAAGTTACTTTATAACCAACCCTCAGTTGTAATTTTTCAAATTATCATGACAATCATTCAGCTTCTGTTCGTCATCGCCCTGGGTATTTTCCATCTAGCATAAACGACATGGATATTTTGCTATTTTATGAAATACGATAAGCATAATTTTATTCGATATAGGTTACAAGTAATTCTTATTGAAAGATTCGGAAAAAAACTTCTGTTCTTGGAGGAACCAGCAAAAAAATCAGCGAGACTATTTTTCATATAGGTATTTTTTTCCAATATTCATTTCTCATAATAACCTCCTAGGACACTCACGGGACGAAATGAAACGAGGTGACGGAATGAAATCTCTTACTTAAAAGAAAGCGCCAGGGTAACCGGCGAAATTCAAATTTTCTTATTTTCTTACGTTTTTTGCAATTTGTAGGTCAGTGTCAGGTTGTATGCTTAACAAAATATGATTCGCGACCGTAACGAGTATGTATTTACAGAATTATAATCATTGTAATACAAGTCTATGTTCGTCTAATCCCAAAGTATAGCTATCTCCAGAAAAACTCATATGAACTTAGAGGGTTGTATTGGTATTATATTTTGATGATAATAATTATATCAACACATACTTGTTACGGTCGCGAATCATATTTTATTAAACATACAATCTGAGCCTGGCCTGCAAATTCCAAAAAACGCAAGAAAATTTGAATTTGCGGGCCACCCTGGAGCTTCCACATTAATACAGAACATAATTTGCCGCTAACGCCGTAAAGGGCCGATCCTCAATTTTTCCAAAAGTTACAGGAGAGCAAAATAACATTAATTTATTATTCCCCGATTACTACTTTTTTTCATTAGAAAATTAATATTATTTGTAATTTTCCATTAAGTCTAATATATTTATTTTTCTGATGAAAAAAAAAAACTAGTAATCGGGGAATAATAAATATTATCTTGCTGTCCTGTAACTTTTTTGAAAAATTGAGGTTCACCCCTTTGCGGCGTCAACGACGACTTATGTCAATTGATTACCAATGTTACAATACAACGTATTATTTTGCTTAAATATGTGAAAATATGCTAACCCGAGGAGGCTCTGCAGATCGCATACGAAGCGGTAGACGTAACGCTTCCCGGCCGTCTTGTGGATGATGTTCTTATCGTAGTAGTAGCGCAGGCCACGAGAAAGTTTCTCGTAATTCATCTTCGGCTTGTTCTTGCGGATGCCCCAGCGTCTCGCCACCTACAACATAAAGTCGCTCACATTGAGTTATATGTACTACATACTAGAGAAGCCATTCCAAACAAAAGATCTGCACTACTCTATGTCTTCGCGCATGCGCGGGATATAGTAGAGTCGCGCATGCGCAGTTGATTTAAGCGCGTTGCGCCTGCGCGGTCAGTTTTTAATTTAAACTTTAATTTGAAGTCTTGTATTATTAGCGCCGCTCCACACTGCATCTATATTGAAACCACAGACTAACTAGTAGATTGAAACCATATTAAATTACACACTGTACGGATTGCAGTACAGTTCAGTTGAACAGTGTATGTTCGGAATGCGCAATCTAGTACGTAGTACATATATATCGAATGTCGCTCAATATTATTTTGAACTGAGATTGTTAGTAATCTGATGCTCATCTTAAATTTATATGTACGTTTCCTCCGTTTCGATCCTGGCTTCGGAACATCTGTTAGCAATAGTTTTAAGTGCAGAGGTGGTGGATATTCAAGTTCAAGAAATTTTATTTATAATTTCAGTATTTCGAAGTCACTTCGTATTGGAAAAGCGTGGCCTTCATTATAAAATATTTTAATGTTGAAAATAATAACTCTTTTCCACTTATATTTCTACACTAAATGATTAAATGCGAGATTATAAGTTAATGAAACAAAATATTTCAAAAAAAATGTACTTTAGAATGGATTATTAATTAATTTGCCGAAATAAATACGTATATAACTTATTTGTAAACTTATATTTTTTTTTATTAAAATTATTATTGTAGAACGCGAGGTAATCAGTTGCTCACTGCAACTGAGTACCTCGCGTTCTACAAGGATCTCATTAAGATTATTGTACAATATTGATCAGTCAGAATAAAATCCTAGTACATTAATTTGATAACACTTATAAATAAAAAAAAACGTGCAGTACACACGCGGTAGAAGTGAAACCTTCAGAGAAGGACACCGAGACAATAGGAAACATTGTACTCGTATACTGTATTCTATCTCATTCTCTTGCAGGCTGAATCCTATATCCTATATATATATATATATATATATATATATGTTTGTCTCTTTTTAGGTTCGCTTTTTCGTTTCAAATGGCAACGATTCTAAAGAAGTTTTCACTTCAATTTTTTTTAAAAATAAACAACGTTAGATTAATTGTAAGAATTATTAGAAATAAATAAAATGCTTAATAAGCTATTAGAGATAAAGTGAATAAAAGCTCTTAGAAACTGACCTCATCGGGATCGGTGAGCTTAAACTCCCAGCCGTCTCCAGTCCAGGAGATAAAGCCTTGGCAGCTCTTGTCGGTGAGCAGCTCCAGCAGGAACTGCCATAGTTGGATCGGGCCTGATCCTAAACCGTAACGAACGTTCGATTTACTATGTACAACTCATTGTATAATTTGACAAAAATAACAGCAAATTATACTCTAAATAACACGCGATACAGTTCCTTTTCCATGTAGAAATCAATCTAGGTTGGTAATTATCACCTTTTTAATTATTTTTGGACTCCCTCACAGACAGTTAAGCCACTACTGTGTATCAATTTGAAAGGCATTGACGCGTTTCATTACTATCAGGTGGACTGTTGATTCCTTTGTAACTTTAATGTAATAAAAATAAAGCGTGTGTAAACAACACTCAATATCTTATGAATACAAGAGAACAAATATTTTATGGCCTCCCTTCTTGCTTACATATACGTGTCTTATGTGAAACATTCAGGCCGACAATATGGAGTAGGTTCAAGATAATCTGGTCTCTTGGTAGAGAGCAAAACAAAGGTCTAACAGTGGGCTATGAAAGAGAAAGGCTTGTAAGCTTGTGACAGAAACAATTTTTTTTTAAACTTAAAAGCCGTTTGGAGGGAAAATTACATTGATTTTGCAGTTGTAATATTTACATAAATAAGCTAGATCTTTTATGGTTTGAGATTACAATTTAAAACTAATCCAGAATTTGAATTTGACTTAAACATTTGCAATCAAACTTAAAAGATCAGTGAAAGAGGGAAATATTGTGCAATTCTGTCTGGTAATGATGTAGAGAACCGGAGAACATTTTCACAGTTAACGAGGCATTTTATCTTAGTCCTCAGGGGTAACAAAGCATCTAGGTACATTTTAAATCTTAATCGATGTGGATGTCTATGGACCACAGCATCCACTTACCATAAGGTCGACTGTGTGCTCGTTTGTCATACTTATTCTATGAAAAAACTGTCATATTACCGCTGTGATTTACAGCTTAGGAAATTTAAAAAATATCAATAAGTGTGTTGTTAATGTTCCGCATTTAGATACACCAGATTTTGTGCTAAGAAAGACATTAAAAAAAAATAACTGTTTCTTATACCTATTTACGCGAATACTACACACCAAAATAATGGTTCAGCGGTGCGACTCGAAGGAACTATAAAATAATGGTGGTGGTTCAACTAACAAAATAAAAACGGCCGATGGACCAAAAATAAATGTAGGTGTAGCGGGCCGGAGCGGAGGAACTAAAATTAAGTGGACTGTATCAGTGTGGTTCGAAGGAATCAAAACATTGAATGATCATGGGTGCTGTAAAGTGCCCGAAACGTTATGAATTTAAGAAAGTTAAAATCAGTTTTATATAAACAAAAATAAAGTTATAAGTCCACAGATTGGAAGTAGACGACTAATCTCACCAGTGAAACAGAGACCGGAGGCGGGGTAGGGCAGCTTGTCCTGCGGGATGAGCGCGTGCTGCTCGGTCGGCCACTCGCTCCACTCGCATGCGCCTCCGTACTCCGCCGCGTAGCCCTCGCCGTACACCTCGCCGCCGTACCGGCCGCCCGTGCCTGCGGACAAACACAAATAAAAACATAAGACGTAATATCAAAGCGTACGTGGTAGAGCCACGCTGCAGCTATATTATGGTTGTAGTACGAACGGGTTGGCGCGACTGGGAAGGAACACGCTCTCACAGATTATCAGCGTAAAATAGCAGCTTAATACTGTTGTGTTTCGTATGGTGAGTGTAGAGAACCGGAGACCCTTTTTACTAGAAACGAGGCATTCCATCTTAGTCCTCAGAGGTGACAACGCATCTGCATTTTCATCTTAATTAAGAATAAATGTCTATGGGCCACATCATCCACTTACCATCAGGTTGACTGTGTGCTGGTTTGTCACTCTTATTCTATAAAGGAAGCAATACCACACTTTATTGCCGCTGCTTCTTTGAAGAGGTCTTATTCATGAGAGCTTGAATTTAGCATAAATTTATTCTTGTCAAATTCTTAATTTATTTTGCGGAACAAGTGAGAAAAACGCGAATTTTATATTATTTCATTTGAAGCAATGGTAGAACCATAATAAGTAAAAAAAAACATTATAGCCTAAATAAGAAAGAGAAATGAAATAATTTCCAAGTCCAAGTCTATAGAGAAATGGAGAATCAGTCTATCCTACATTTAATAACAAAACATTTTTAAAATTGATAGCAGTGGAAATTGTTAGTATTGAATATTAAATGCAAGTACAATTCTATATATATCTACCTTTTTCTTCTGTCGAATTTAGCTAATCCCTTGATTAAATACGTAATCAATACCGAAAATATATGATTAAGCAACAAAAAATAACATTTAATTTTACGAAAATGTAACAAAATATCTAAAACTTCGACAAATTAGTGCATTACTGTGACATGTTCGAGGAACTTAATACACTGATTTAATAAGGTGATGAAAGACTCGACTCTGTTAATGACCGTCCATCTTGAAACTGAATATATTCATTAATTATACGCGATGCAAGAAATCCCTTTGTTGTGGTTATCGTTTTGTGATCTTTTCTAACGACCAGCTGTTAAACGATGTATATTATTCAGCATTTTGTGAGACAAGGACGACCTAATAATGTATCTGCTATAATATTTTAATTGGGTTACGTTTTCACGTAGTTCAAGGTAAGTACTATGTCTAAAAGTTTTGCACTGAAACTTTTATACGTCATATTTTATAGCACTGGATTTATAAGTCACTGACGATCGCTTATTCTAAAATTAAATGTAGTAATAAGTCAGTTTTTTTTTACAGATATAGAAATGAAAAAATATCTATATAAAAAGTTGTAAAAGTTAGATAATAAAGAAAGCACTAAAATAAGGGTAATAAGGAATGATTTATAAAAGTACTTACTTCTGGGATAAGGCTTGGTATACGTGTGCGGCTGGTACTTGTGCTCATGCGTGAGCAATGGTTGCGCGTGTGCGTGTGCGTGGTGGTAATAATCGTCAAGGTAGGGTTGTGGTGGCGCGGCGGGCGCTCCCGACGGGTACTCAGGGGGGTAGTACTCCTCTAGGGGCGAAGCACCCGGAGCTGATGTTGCGCTACTTGCTTCAGGGTAGTACGTGCCCGCTTCTCGCGGACCGCCGGTTGTGTAGCCACCTGTAAGAAACATATAAATGATGTGAACAACACGAATCTAAAGTAACTTTTCATTGTTCATAATCTTGACTGATATCCCTGATATCGAAAAATAAAAAGTTAAAAGTATTAAAATAAACTAGGCTAGGTAGGCTCATAAAAAAGTACAGTTTCTTCTAATACTGAATTAATTTACGTAGACTGTGAAAGTAGGAGCCAGTTGGTAGGCAACAGAACACTGCAGTCATTTTGTAGATTTTGTCACTTTGTAAGTTTTCTATCCATCGTCTCTAGTTTTTACAGAAAAACATTATCCGATCGTACACGAATGAAAAATGTTGCATTTTTTGGGGTCAAAATAATATGTTCAAAATTTGAAACAAATAGATGCGAACATTTTTTAATGACATAATTTTAATCTAGTTTAAAATTTACGATCAAAAACGTGGTAGAGTCATACTGCAGTTGTATTATGGTTGCAGCAACAACGGGCCGGCTCGACGGGGAAGGATCACGCTTGTGCTGTGGCGGATTAAATGTCTACAGCGCCCAAGGTGAGCCTAACATCTCATTCGCATCCCTATCAATATTATAAATTATAACTACTCATTTTGCAAATAAACTAATTTATAATACAGTTTAATAGTTGCAAAATAATTAGGAAACGAGTACCCTTAACAGGTGGCCGTGAATGAAAATTGTGATGAGAGAGTAAGGGCCATGTAAGAGTAATCTAATACACGAGTGACAAGAACCTCTCGCCCTTAGTCCTCAGGGATGAGAACTTATTTGAATTTTGACTCTTTGTCGAGACAGATGTGAGTAGATGACTGTGATTCATAGGTTCCACTTGCCATCAAGTGGACTGTATGATCGTGTGTCACCGTTACATATGTAATAATTGATTTTTTTAGAACAGTGTCCAAGTTTATTCTTTATCAACCTTTCTGGATCCACAACTACTTAGCTACTTACAGTGTTCAAGATTGCGCTGTGCTAACTGGCATATATAATAACTTTAGAGCCCATTGAGTTGTAATTGCTTGTAAAAGTCAATGTTACTTTTAAACATCATTGGCGAAATATCATTTTTTGTATTTTAATTGTCTGTTTTGGATTTTTCTTGTCTGATTATGGCTCCATAAATATGCCGCTTTAGAGCCTATACCCATGTTTCGTGAGCTTAAACCCGCTACTGGCGCCTTTATATGGTTTCCCGGGTTGTACTGTATACTTTTATAGGAAATTTTATCCTATAAAATGTGCACCTCATGACTTCAAAAGTAAATAGGAACGCGAGGATCTTATTAGTTGCAGCATATCCATATAATACTAAGCGAAAGCGATTTTGTTTGCAATTCTGCCTTTGCAATAATGTTACAAACGAATTTGTAATGTAAAAAATCAGGACGCGAGCAGTATATCAGTATATCGCGCGTGTGCGTCGGCGCACGAGGCCCGGGTAGCCAGGCGCGACGGTTGCGGTTCACGGCGCGCCCTTTGTTCTGCGCCTCGGACCCGCGGCCCCGCGGCCCGCACTCCTGCGCACTACCACTGCACACCTCGCAACTTACCACTTACAAGTAAACTTCCAAACGAATTTCACTAAACGTTAAATTTTAATGACAGAAACAGTGATACCCGAACTGATTCTCTTTAGATTACTAATAGCGCACTAATCGATGTCAATGTGTGTGTTATTCCCTATGGCAGCCTAACACGAGGACTATAAGATGAAAATTTTAATTTACCTATCAAACTTATTCTTTAAACGCATAAAATGTATTTAATATTCTATTATATTTCTTTCATTCCTTACATGCATTCCCCATAGATAGCTCTATTAGGAGGGATATATTACATAAGTTGTTAACTTCAGTTTTTATTATTTTGAATTGTTATCAGGAAGATGTTACTGCCTATCTCTAGTATCATTCGCTCTGACGCCTCCTGCGACACCTACAGGATAACATGGGGAAGTGAATTCTCTTACGCTGTCACTGTGGCTAGTGTAGTACACGGTAAATTCTATTTCTTATATGAAAAAAAAAAAAACTAAATCAACAGTATTTGTTGTTCATTAGTGTTCGTTTACATTTATAAATTATGTTTAAGTAAATAAATGAAATATTAATATAAAAATTGAAGTAACCATACGTATTTCATATATGAAATTCGTACCTATTATTCATGTAGGGCACCTCTTTTATAAACAGACACATTTAGTGCTTCACTTTATTTTAACTTCAGTTTAGTTGAAGAAATAATGACAAAACCATTATCAGAGTAAACATTCAGATACTCGTAATCGCTATCGCTTACTGTTTAATATAATTTCTTGTGAGTTACTTATCAGAATCATTTTTAAGAACTCGATTTCTCCCAATTAGGCGAATGAACGTAGCTAATTATGCTCTAATTAATTCTGTTGGAATAAAATTTATCTTGTAACGACAACTTGAAACGTTTCAGTTAAAGTGTACATACAAAAGGTGTTACGTTACATCCGTAATCGACTTTGTCTAATCGACTCTTCAGACGATTGGTATTTCGAGCATTAAAATGCATCTAATTTACTTATTTTATTTTGTTCATTGAGTAATATCCTTTTCCACTTATCTTAGATATTGTTCGATTTAATTAAATTTCAAACGTTTGAAATTTATCCAATTTTAATAAAATACTTTTAATCCGGTCATTTTGATGCAACTCGACTGTAAGAATCTACATTTATTGGATATTGCCAAGTTTAATGTTGTTTGTCAAATAATGATGGCGTGTCAATGTTTTCTTAGTCTGATGTGCTAACTGCTGATTTTATTGTTTAGTTTTTCAAAGTTTTATTGAAATAGTCTGTGTAAAACTAGTCGCGCTAGTTGGTTGTGGCTATTGGATCGACAATTTAACAATAGAGCAATGTACAACGAGTGGATGTGAGTGTTATGCGAGTACTGTGGGGTCATCAGTCGCACGATTGTGTGACCATTTCACTGAATATATATATATGTCTGTACTTTGTAGCGTGTTTATTACTATATATTTTATAGTGTTATAATGTATTTTATATACCTACATAATGCAATAAGAATATTTTGGCTGTTTTTGTTTTAAAATTGGTATTTCCGTATTGTAAAAGATGACAGAGGAAACAAATGGATTATACATTGCTTCATTCCATAACATTACATTTGTGGTTTCTTCATATTATCACATACCCGCAATCGAAGCCTGACGATCAATGCAAATCCGACGGGAGGGGCCCATGTCCAGCAGTAGGTTTACAGGCTGATGATGATGAAGTAAAGTACTATATTTAACAAAAAGTAAAGGAACAGCCTATATACATTCCATTGATAGGCTGAAGAGGCTCTTCTCTTCTAATTTCTGAGAAAATTTTAGCATTTTTATATTTCTTAGATACGTCGCTTTTTCACGTCACTTTCCTTTAACGTCGACTTAGTGCTAAATCAGTATTGAAAACTTCAATTAAGAATTTCAGCGGTACGCGTATCTACTATGAAATTTAATAGCTACAGCTTATATACGTCCCACTGCTGGGCACAGGCATCTCATTGCTGAGAGGGTTTTAGGGCAAGGATATGTTCGCCGCACTGCCCCAATGCGTGTGGGCGAACTTCACATGTCTTCGAAATATATTTTTTTCTTATTTCTTAGACATGCAGGTTTCCTCACGTGGTTTTCCTTCACCGTCGAGCACGCGATAAAGAAGATTTTTATTTTATAAGATAAGGGTAAAAAACGAGCACACAGCCCACTTGATGGTAAGTGGTTGCTGTGGCCCATATACATCTACATCTATCTTCGATTACGAATCTAAATGCAGATGCGTTGTCACCCGTGAGGACTAAGATGGAATGCCCCGTTTTGAGTAAATAGGGTGGGTCTCCGGTTCTCTACACTTACGAAACACAGCGGCGTTAAGCTGCTATTTTACGCTGTTATTCTGTGAGAGCGTGGTCCTTCTCCGGTCGAGCCGACCCATTCGTGCTATAACTATACTACTAATATAGCGGCAGCATGGCTCTACCACGTATAAAATTGCAATTAACAATTTCATTGGTAGCGGCGGGGATCGGACCCGGGTTGCTCGCGTACTGTGAAATTTACAGCGAGCACTTAGACACTGAGCTTCCACGGCGGAAGTTTAATATGAACCGCTAATGCCAGTAATACCACAGCTCTAGTAAATTATACTCCAATATACTGTACAGTTCCCAGTGTAGTGGCGACGTTAGAGTCCACTGCCGCATGTCGTACCGTGAGTGCCCTAAGAGGCGACAAAGGAAAATGAAACGGGAGATGGGCAGCCGCATCTTCCTGATAACGACACAAAAATAAATGAAAAAACTGCGGTTCCTTAATCTACCTGTGAACTTTATTTTTAACTAGCTGTTCCCCGCGACTTTGCCCGCGTGTAATTTATTACGATTGGATTGCATACTGTGTTTTAATTTTTTTGCGCGGAACCCTAACTCTTATTCAAAAACAAAAATAGCCTAAGTTACTCCATATAACATCAGCTATCTGGCAGTGAAAATCCCGTCAAAATCGGTACTGCCATTCCGGAAATTAGCCGGAACAAACAGACAGACAGACAAACATTTTAAAAATTGTGTGCTTTTGTTATAAATACCGTATACACTTTCATATGCATTTAGTAATAATTTAAAATTAAAAATTTTGTACAGCCGACTTCAATATAAGTTATTTAAGAATAACTCAATAACCATTGGTCTGACCTTGATCAAATTCATATGGGACCACACGAGAACTATCAGCTTTCATATAAAAAAAGAATCATCGAAATCGGTTCACCCAGTACAAAGTTATGAGGTAACACACATAAAAAAAAAACATTCACTCGAATTGAGTACCGTCTCCTTTTTGGAAATCGGCAGAAAAGCTGTTATCTTGAAATTACAAACAGGCACTTCAATTTTATTTATTTGTTATTTTGTATGGCAAACATCGCCCACTATTAAGCAATCTATGGGATTAAC